TAAGGGGCTATTCATGCTCTGCACCAGGGTTTCTCATCCTTTCTTCCCCAACACACGTGCTGAGTGACACAATCCTATCTTCAATACACTGTGGAAGTGATTCTTAATCCAGGAGAAAGGAGGAACAAGTTTAAAGTTGGAATTTAAGCTACTCCCCTACTTCTGGCTTCACAAACTGAAAAATCACTACTTCATGTACTCTGTTCATTCTTGACTCACGCCAAAGCTCACCTGGACTTGTATCACCCTGTCCCTTACGAAACCACGTATTTCATTTATGGAACCAAGGTTGATGGACGTCATTCCATTAATAATTGCTAACATTTATGGAATGCTCAACTACTTGTGAGGAACCGTGCTGAGTGTTTTATGTGCATTCTCTCATCTAATCCTCACAATAACTCCATGAGAGAAAGGATAATCTCCACGTTTCAGATAAGGAAACTGGAGCTAAGAAATCTTGAGTAATTTATTTTGCTCATGTAGCTAGTAAGTATCCAATGTAGGGTTTGAATCCAAGCAGTCTGACTCCTAAACAAGCAAGTACATGTTTTGGAGAACACCGATCACTCTACTCAGTGACCTCTTTGCTATTTTCTGTCAGAAAATTTTTCTCTGGACTAAAGAACCAGGGAACTCTGTCCTTTGCTTGGATGACTAGCTTGTGTATATCCTGTGAACATGAAGACCCTTAACTTTTATTATTTTCCTCTTAGTGCTAGGTGCCCGGAAGCCAGAAATGGTGGTAATCTCACCTACTGGCCTCAATTTATATTGTGAGTATAAAAGGAAAGGTCAGTGAAAACTCTTTGAAAGTTAAAGTTTTAGATAACATTTGAGAATAGGAGTGTCATTCTATAATCGATAATACTGAAAAGATAAATCTAAGTTTTGATGCCCTGAAGCAACCTCAACCATACACTTAGAATAAAGTAACAAAATCACTCTAAAAAGTACCTACCTGGAAAGTACCGTTCTGGAACTTTGGAAATGTAGAATAGGAAAGCAAGAAGAGCAATCACATACATCACAACTACACGAGGAGCAAAGTCCTGAAAAGCAAAACATTTTTTTATAGATCTTCCTACTGTGACTGAATTTCCAATTCATTATGAATCTAATTCCTAGATGATGTGGAATTTATAGGTGGAATTTAAGTCTGTTAAATCTGAATTGCTTTTGCTGACAGTCTCCAATAATACAAATCTCACTCTTAATACTGCAGAAAGCAGTCCACAAATGTGGAGCACACAGAGTGCCCTAAAATTAGGGTACTGAAGTAGCTAGAGCTTTATGAGGCTGAAGGTCCTACGATCTACAACCCCATCTACAATATAGGTATATGGGTGGTGTGCATATGGGAATTTAAAAATCAGAGCTATAGTTTCTAGGATCCATAATGTACCCTTGTGTGTGGATATACGTTTGTTTGCCTACCTATTTCTGGCCAATTCTAAAGTGGACCTGAACTACTTTTATTATTATTATTATTATTATTACTGCATTTTCATTTCTTTTCGAATTAAAAAAATTTTTCGATTACAGTTGATATGCGATATTATATTAGTTTCAGGTATATAGCAAAGAGACTAAAGACCAGAGACTTTTGGCTGGAAAGACCCAAGAGGTTCGGCCCAATAATGAAATCTGTTCCACCATCCTAGAAAAATGATCCTCTTGAATAACTGCTATATGAAGCAGTCCATCGCACAGGTCTGTTGGAAAGCTTTTCCTTGCACTAAGAAAATCAATCACCTATAAATTACACATATTGTTCCTATTTCTGGTTATAAACCTAATTTACCAAGAAGCCATTTAAAAAATAAAGACAAATTACTTTTCTTCCCTCTTCGAATATTTGAGAATTATCACAGTTCTCCCTAAGTCCTATATTCTCAGATTAATCAACCTCAAATTTCTCAAATCCTCTGGAACACAACTCCACCCTACCTCTCAGGATTAGCCCTTCTGGAACTTTTCTTCTTTGGTTAAGTGCTGTTCTTTCCGTCTTTTAAAATTTAGAGTTTATGGGAGAATTTCTCCACGTCTCCCTTTGCTTCTCTACTTTGAGAACCACTATCTTCCTAAGCCATATTTCTATTTTAAGACTTCTGAGCATGGGAAAATTCCTATTTTTTTCTGAAATTCTCTAAAATCCACTACTTTAATGGGTCTGGTTCCCTTTGTTATTCTAAACTTAAAAAGGATGTGTCACTTCACCCTAAAATTTTAGTCACTTCTTTGTCAACAAGCAGTCATTCATTTCTGGTAAGAATTAAATCTACAGTGGCAGTTCCCTATTTTCTTTACTTATTTTTAGGGAAAATGATGTTTTCACAGATATCGGGATCAATGAAGTTCCTCATTAGTACTGTCTCACCTTTCTCCCAATTTCCTAGTCTTCGGAAGAAAGCATTATCTTTGTTCTCAAGTTGACAAAGTAGACAGACAGATCCTATCACTCAATTCACTGGATCACAGAACTTCCTTAGCTCTATACCCAAATGTTTTCCACCATGCTGTTGCCAACTTCATGCAAGTATATGTAAGCCTACTATTAGCGCCCCCTCTTCTAAAAAATCTGGTTCGTTTGAATACAACTTGCATTTAAATCCCCATATTCCAGATGACGTTCCCACTGCGAACAAGTGTACATGATTTCTGCTAGATTTTGGGGCATACTTACTTATATTAAAAATTCAACTTTACTCTCTAGTGCATATTTAAAGCATTTGTATATGGATATCTAAGAATGTAAGTCTTATTTCTAATCCTCTTCTCAAGAATACTATGGCGCTCTGAGGTTCTTCCTAATGCACTCCAACTGTTCCCCCATAACACCTGACTCAAATAGCTCTTATTTCTCAACATAGTCTCCTCCATGGGTAAAATGTGCTTCCATGGCTCCACTACCAATACAATAATGATTTTCAAATCTTTATCACTAGTCTCAAAACTCTAATCTAAATTTTATAACCTCTCTCTACTTTTACATTACCCGAAACTCAACAGGTTCAATAAAAAAAATCCTTCTCAACGCCCCCGTCCTCTACACACACACACACAAAAACCAACTGCTCCTACTTCTGTACTTGCATGAGCACTGGCATTATCCCTGCCTCAGCTGACAACGCTAGAGAGGTGTGAGTCCTCCTCCACAGGTAAGGACTTAGGTACTTACACACTAAGGGTGACAGAAAGAGAATTAAGAATGTGTTATTTCACAGAAAGCCATCTCAGAAGAAAATGGTAGTTATACTTAACTTCTATTCCTGCAAAGTATGCTTATTAATATAGGTGTGAAAATTATGGCATTAATATGCACTTGTAAATATGCTATCAAATGACAAAGACCCACCCAGTTGGCTTTATTATACTACTTTACCTAAAAGGGATAAAACTGAAGGGGCACAAAAAATGTGAAAAATATGGACAACACTCAACCTACCTGTACAATAGGAGCACTGACTCCTCCATTGAGCCAAACCCAATGAAGAGTAGGAATTACTCCGTATCCCGAAACAGAACAAAAGATGATAGAACGGAGCCTCTGCCACTGCTGTGTGAGGTAATTGGGATGGATCTGCGCAAAGAACACTGCCAGGATCATAGCGAGCACTGTGATCAAGTACACTTGACGCCAATACTAGAATGAAAGGAAATCAAATTTTATTAACAATAGGGAAAAAAAAAGTAATTTTGGCTTCCATAGTACACATTCCAAACTCTACTTGGTATTTTCATTTACAAACATGATTACCTTCCTTCCTTAAAAAAATGCATGTTCCAGACAACTTTTAGGTTTCTCAAGATGACAAACCAAATTCCAAAGTGAGCTGGTAAGAAACCAGATTTATCATAAAAAGCATATGAGTACTATTATATGTCACAGATAATTTTAGTCGTGTAGAAACAAAGATGACTATGACATGATTCACTCAGTGGGTAAGCTCATAGACTATGGGAGGGGCAGACATGTAAATAAATGATTATAATCTAATGATAAGTATTGTAACTGCATTATTAATAGACTGTTGTAGAACCACAGAAAAAGAACAATTAATGTTTCCTGGAGCAGCTAAAAAATGTTTCACATAGGAGATAACATCTGAGCTGGGTCTTAAGAAATACATAACATTTTGTGGGAAGAGGGAGCTCTCAAGGAAAAGAAAAAAAAACCAGCACCTGCACCAGGGAAGTTCTGAGAAGGGAGGATGAAAGATGTACTGTTGGGCTAAGTACGTGGAACGTAATTTACCATTTTGGCACTGGGGGAATAGCAGAATTCTTTAAGAAGGGAATGACATGGCTGTTTTTCAAACTGGCTCATTAGAAAGATAACTCTGACATCAATGTAGAAAAGAATGAGGTGGCAGGAAGACAGCTAGAAGGTATTAAATAACATTCAAAGAGAGAGTGGGGGCTTGGATTCTTATTGAATAAGGAAGATGGATGTGAACACCAGATCCAGGAGGCATTTTTTGAAATAAACTAAAGTCTTAATGGCTGACCGGATGTGTGAGAGGGCAACAGAGGATGGCTTGACTATTGCTAGTATGAAAGGCCACACACATGGGTTCTACTGATGGAGCACATACTAAAAGATGATCTGTATGTGTTGTGTGTGTTTGTGTATGTGTGCGTGCATGTACGTGCTGGGGGAAGAAAATGAGGGTGGGGGGAATGGAGGCTAAAAAAGGTTCATTTAAAAATATATTAGATTTGAAGGGCTTATAGAATAAGGTTATCTAAATGAGCAGTTGAAAAGCTGGTCTTGAAGTTCAAAAGTGTTCATCTCAGAAGACAGTTCTTAACCTGGGCTCCAAGGACTTCTGTGGGGCTATTCTTTCTGAAATCACATGTTAAATTGTTTGGTTAGCTAGTGCCCATATGGAGGGTCCATAGTTTATAATCTCATTCTCAAAGCAGCCTGTGTTCCTTAAAAGGTAAAGAGCCACTATAGCAATTTATTATTTGGAAATGTTTAGATACGAGAGAGAAAACAACAATTTTTCCTTTAAATGATCATGGACTACATTAGCTTCAGTAGGTCTCTCTTCTCTTTACTCTACCCTGAATTTCAAGTTTTTCTGAAGATTTATAAAAAGTGTCTGACTAATCTGATTATCTGATATGTTTAGAGAGGTAAACAGAAAATAGGTTTCAGAGAAATAAGATAAGCAAAAGAATTCAAGTATTACATGACTATATTCACTAAGCTCCTAGTTATCAGCATGTTCCCTCTAATTTTTTTAAAAGATGTGAATAGTTTCATGCAAAACGAGCAAGTTATGAAAGCTGAGCAGACATGAATTGATTTTAACTACCAAAATCAAATCAATTTATAACAACTTAATTGCATATATATTTAATTACATGCTTATGTTCCAAACTAATTAGGCCTAAAAAGCAAATGGCTCATGTGCAAGTGGCTACAATTAATATATACTATTACATTCAAACCAACTTTATGATTTTTTCTTTGCTAGTTTTACACTGAAGCTTTTTGACAGTTTTCTCCAGTATTATGTAAAGACAAATGTCTACAAAACACTCTTCTGCTTCTTCTATAAGTTAATTATGTGCTTGAATCAGAAGCTCAAAGAAGCCACAGCAAGAAAACCCAAGATCTATATGAAAGGTAGAATGAAAAATATTTTAAGTTACTTACATTATTACAATAAAATGCATAAAATACTCCAGAGACATAGCAGCCCAGTATTCCAATAGAAATTCCTGCATAATCTAATGCCATCCATCTTCGGCAGGTTTTTTCTGATCGATGGCAAGAAAAAAGATGATAGCCTACAGAGCAGAGCATACAGACCTAGGTAAAACAGAACAAAAATAAGTGAAAGTGAAACAACAACAAAAAGGGAAACAAAATGAAATTAAAGTGCAAAAGTGACACAAAAAGAAATTGAACCAACCTATGTGTGATGTTCAAGCCCAGGCTTTCCAGTCAGAGACCTGCGCTTGGATTTGAGCTCTGAGCCTTACAGTCTGGTAAGCTATGTCCTTTCTCTAAGCCTCAATTTCCCCATGGGTAAAACAGGATAACAATCATATAAAGAAATAAATTTAAAATGACAGCTATTTTATTGTGTAAAATTTTAAAATGAAAAGCACAATAATAGGAAAAGTACAAGTACAAATGTTTTAAAAATATCAACAGGCTTATTTTGATCCATGAATGAGTTTCCATTTTAAAAAGTATGTACTATATAAGTAATACATTCTTAAAAATAAATCAAAGAACACAGAACCGTATGATGTAAAAAATAAGCCCCTCCCACTCAAATCTATTCCCCAAAGGTAGCCACTGATAACATTTACGTCCTTTCAGATATTTTCAGTATCAAATACCAATGCTATAGAAGTCTACATACACATAACACTTATGTACTTTTTTAGATTAATGTAATTCAGATGGAATCATATGATACATTCTGTTCTGCAATTTGTTTTTTCCCCTTAGTATTTTTCATGTGTGTTTAAGATTTCATTGAATAGTTTACTTTTGTTATAAATTAAACATTGTTTTTTTTGTGTCCAAGAGAAAATAATTATGACTTTTGCTGACTTTATATGGTTGCCAAATTGAGAGCAAAGCTAATCTGATTCAATCAGCTGCTCTGAAAATTGGTAAAGTTTCTATGGCTGAACTCCTTCCACCCATTAAATACTTGCTGCTTGTCATACACTGGGGATACAAAGATGAAACAAACTTTCAGAGATGTAATAGTGATATAAGAAGTCTTATAGGAAAAGTCAGTGCAGAGCGCAATGAGAAAATAGAGGGAGGATACTGGCTCTGTGGATGTATGTCTGCATTTGTGGGATGAAAGTTGCAGGAGGAAAATAGCTTCTCAGAAGGGCTACCACCCGAGCTGGATCTTAAGAGGTTGATCTGGCATTCATCAAGGACATAAATAAAGATATGTACATGTTTATTCGGGGTGGAGGTGTCCATAGGAAAAGCAGAACCGTTAAGGAGTATCATGTGGCCTTCTTCATGACACAATTATGACAAGTCCTATACATCAAAGAGTTTTAATTTCAATACTATGGGCTAGGTGTTATACTACTGAAGATTTTAAGTGTACCCTTACAGAAAAGCTGAGATAAAAGGCTACAGGAGTAGCCCTAGGGAGCAATGACAAGAGCCTTTACTAGGCTGGTGACAGTGGGAGTGGAGAAAACAAGACAGCAACAATATAAAGTAGGTCAAATTAATAAACATTTTGAAAGCAACTGCTAAGACAGATAAACAGTCATTTAGTTATTCTATAGCCTGGTCATTAAACAAACCTAATCAGTCCCCATAGCCTCGATATCAATATCAAAACAATGTACCTAGCCACAATCTCATTTCTGCATCCAGTCTAAAATCCTTATTGGTCTGCGGCTTTGGCTACTAAGCTATAAGTCAGTTTACTGACTAATTAAACATAATTCTAAGAAGCTTAGTTATTTGTTTTCTCAGATTATCCTTGAGATTAAACACAGTAAATCCAGAAAACATCAAGGTGTATATGCTCATTGACAGGAAAAGATCTTATTGTCACAATACTGACTGACACAAAACAGCAAATAGAGATGATCATAGCTTGGAAGTAAGTGGACAGGTAGGCAGGCAGGAGTGAGGCTGCTGTGCATACCCGAATGTCGAGAGAAATTTTAACTCAAGTGTCATATGTGGTTACCTCTGGGAAATGGAATTTCAAGTTGACTTTTATTTTCCTCCATATACTTTTTTGTTCGCTTAAATTTCTCCATGAGGATATCTTATAGTGATAATAAGAAACAGCAAAGCTAATTTCTTCGTGAGAAGGAAAATAAGAGAAATGAGACAAACTACAGTAATCAAAAGGAAAGTACAATATATAGCATTAACAGAGATCCTTGACTTTTTTAAATTAACCTATGCTCAGTATGTCCTGTTTGGAAAGGGATGTTATTGTTAAACTTCCTTTAAAAAACTGACCAAAAAAATTACCTGGCAAATTGAGTATGTTTCAGTTTTTTGGAAAATTTCCCTTTGTGGAACATGTCACTCCATCAATGTAGACAGATACAGTGTGACATCCTACATCTAAGCTACTTGGCATGATAACCAAAAACCTCAGTATCTGGCTCCTACCTATCTCTCCAGCCTCATTTTTCTCCATTGTCCTAGGATCCAACACAAAGACCAAGACCTATAAGTCCAGAAAGTGCTAAGCTGTCTCTTACTTCTGGACCTTTATAAAAACTTTTGTTGTTTGTTTGTTTAAATACCTTGCCACACTCTCCCTGCTGCCCTTCTACCTGGTGACCTGATCTTTAAAACAGGCAGGTTTTGTTCAGCACTATATTCCTGATGCCTAGCTTAATGCGTGGATGTAGAGAGGCATTTAAAAAAATATTTGTTGAACTAAATGTAAATGAACTGAATCTAGGAAAGGTGTTCTTAGATTCTACTCTTCTCTAAGATAGAAAGACCTCTGGGAAAGTTCAAAGTCCCTGAAACCACATTGTATTATTCAGAATGTACTCTATTAATTTGGTTGGGAGAAAAGCACTGAGCACATAAAATAGGTAGACGTGAAAAGAAAAAAAAGTTATGTTTTAAAAATTAAATACTGCATTAATAGAGATCCTTGAGTTTATTAATTACATATATTAATACATATATTTATGGTTTATCATGCTGCCTGCTGGTTCTAAGAATTTGAGAAACTTGGGTGAACAAATTATAATTTCATAAAAATAACAGGAATGATATTTTTAAGTAGGGAAGATGTGCTCGTTTATCTTTAGCAAGTCATACGGTGTGTAAGAGAATAATCACTGAACTATCAGTAAGGAGAACGGGATTTTATCGTCCTGCTG